GTCTGTCGACTAAAAGAAAACCTGAATATGTCACAGATATTTAATTGTTTAGCCATTAAGAGATTAATAGTCTGAAAAAAAAGATTCAATTTTGTTAAGTTGTACCTAAGTGGTGATTATCTTCATTATAATTTTAAAATCATCATTGTCATTTTTAAGCATGAGAAATAAGTAAATGTGTGTTTAAATAACTTGGAAAATGAATCGTAGACATGAGAGTGGAGGGTGACTATTTGGGAAGAAAATGGGATCAGTGGGAGGAGGGTGGGTGAGAGAGGATAGTAGGGGAGCAAATATGATCAGGGTATGTAATATGCACACGTAAACATACCATCTTGAAGCCCATTATTTTGAATAGTGAATATGGCGCTGATAAAAATTTAAAACTGTATTGTTTGTTGGGGAAACAGCTCAGTTGGTAAAGTGTTTGTCATGCCAACATGAGGACCCAAGTTCAATCCCCAGGACCCATGAATGCGGTCCCAGTGCCACGGAGTCAGCCACCCAGCCATGCCTGCCTGTGAGTTCCAGTCAGTGAGAGACTGTTTTAAAACACAAGATAGAAAGTACCCGTGTAATGATACCTACACCTGAAGGTGACCTGAGACCTCCACATGCACACATATGTATCGCATCACACATAGACACACACACATACACACACACACACACACATACACACACACATACACACACACACATACACACACACACACACACACACACACACACACACACACGCGATTTAAAAATTCAATTGTTGAGATGTGTATTTCTTCCAGATACACATGATTGTTTAATGTTTATACACACATATATCTCCTTTCTTATGACATATTATAGATTGAAATACTATCTTCAGGACAAAATTTCTTAAAAATAGGCCAGTCAAGATGAATTTTTCCTCAAGGTTTTATCTCAAGTTTTTCATTGAATGTCAAGGACATAAAAATCATCTCAGCAAGTTTACCCATAGAGATCTTTCTTTCAAACCCAAGTGTAAATAGTCATCTCGTTTTCTTTATAGATCGTTGGTTCTGTGATTGACAGGGAAGGCAGGCCCGCTGTTTGCTGAGAAGGTAGCCTCTTTAGGATCTGTGGAGGTCAGCACTGTCCTAAACCTGTCCGTCCCTCCTTGGAAACCACCCGTGCCCTGTTGGGACCTGCTTCTCCCGAGTTGTGTCTGCACTCTGCCTTCTATTTTGTGTCTCATTGGCTGCGAGACTAGCTGGCAGGGTGCTGCACACCGCTTTCAGGTCACAGGACACCTGTTGTGCTGTGCAGAAATCACCGGAGAAGGTGTGTGTACTTCTTAAGACCAGGATTGCAGGTTTTTTTTTTGTTGTTGTTGTTGTTGTTTGAGACAGGGTTTCTCTGTGGTGTTTTGGTGCCTGTCCTGGATCTCGCTTTGTAGACCAGGCTGGCCTCGAACTCACAGAGATCCGCCTGACTCTGCCTCCCGAGTGCTGGGATTAAAGGCATGCGCCACCACCGCCTGGCAGGATTGCAGTTTTATACTGTTCTGAAGCATAAAACTTAGAAGTTCGTTCTCTGTTATGCTAGCTGCTCAGAACATAAGCACCCTGCGTCCAGTTCTGCCCTCTGCTGCGTTTAGAACAGATTATCTTTTTTCTTTTTTCATTGGTGTCTAATGACTGGAAAACACAAAGATGTATCGCTTCATAAGCAGCACATCAAGGAAAAACATGGAGTGAGAAGAGTTGCAGAGGTCAGGGGCTCACTAGAAGAAGAGTGCTTCTCAAGCAGCTTCCATCTATGCTGTCCCACACCATGGCTTAACCTCCCCAGTGAAGCAAACTGTATGAAGGCGTGGAATATGTGTTTTTGTGTTTATATAGTAACCTAGTGAATGTCTATTGTGGACAGGTGGGGAAGAAGTTCAAAGACGTAGAGGCATTCTCCTTCCTGAGCATGTGTACAGAGATGATGAGGGAGAGGCCTCATCACATGCAGGGGTGGATATGGTTACAGGCCTACAGTCCCAGCTCTCCAGAAGCTGAGGCGAGAGGATTGCAAGTTGTAGGCCAATTTGGGCTACATAGGGAAACCTTGTCTCAAAACAAACAAACATTAACCAATCAGCCAAACAACCAACCAAACAAATAGTAACAACAAATACAAATAGAACACCATAGGAAAGTGTCAAGAGTGAATTCGCCAAAAATAATTGAGGCACGAAGGGCTATGAGTTCAAAGGAGAAGAAATGCTATCCTGCCCAAGGATGGGATCAAGTTCAAGAGCCCGGAAGAGACCAAATGCATCTCCATAGGAACTGAAAGTGGAGGAAACTTTGAGACATGAAAATTATTATGAAATAAATTGACTCCTTGAGTTGATCTGGAGAATTTATGTAGGAAAGTATGGAAGAGAGGCTTCGATGAATAAATTCAGAGTGGATTATGGAAGCTTTTGTGACAGAGTGCACAGATAATAGCATTGTATTCTATGTACTATGCCACTACAAATACATTTATTTTATTAAAATATCGTCGTATCACTTCCCTCCACTCCCTCAAATTCCTGGCCTCTTGCTTTTAAAATCATTATTGTCTTACACACACACACACACACACACACACACACACACACACACACACACACTCACACACACACACACACACACACACACACACACACACACACTACTAAGTCTGTTCAGCGTTGCTTGTATGAACATGATGATTTCAGGGCTGACCACTTGGCACTGGATAACCACTTAGGGGGCCCCTCCCTGACGGAAGACCCCCTTCTACTCTTATCATCCTTTGGATGCCTATAGATCTTTGTCAAGGGCCCACTTCCGTGTTAGTATGTCTATTGACGTTGTCCTTGTTCAGGTCTTTAGGCAGCCATATTGTTGAGGTTTAAAGACATTTCTTTTAAAATCCCAATAATATGTTTTAATCTTGCACTGTGTCACGTGTCCGCAAGAGTCATTGATCTTATATAAGGGGTTATTTCCCCAGGGTAAGAATGTTCGAGCCTTTTAATCAAAGTAGTTTACTGGGTGTGATGGAGATGGAGTTAAGAAGTAAGCATGCTGGGTAGTGACTATTGGTTTGTTATGCATTGGTTTTGGCTTTTTAATTTTAATTCTTGGCTTTTTTTTTTCTCCCACAGGTGCTTGTCTCTATCAGGGCTCCTTGCTGGCGGTAGGTCATTCTTAATCTATTTCTTTTGGATGTAAGATGCTTAGCTGAGATAACTGAGTGAGTGAGGTGATTATGTCATTGTAAACTATATTATTTTCTTCATGGGTTGAGGAGTACTCCTCATCCTCATCCGGGTACCATAGGGCTCCATCACTTAATAACCTTTTGAGAGTGAATTAGTTCCATTTGGATGCTGAGGTATTGATTGAGAAGTACCCCCCCCCCCCCCCCCCCCCCCCCCCCGCCATTTGCATTCTATGGCTGTCCTTTGTGTTCTTTCAGTCAGAGATAATTGGATCCCATCCTCTTGTCACATACAAACTAGGGCACAATTTGTTTATATGCCTGCTACATTTGTTTCCGTCTTTACAATAATGTTGTTATTACAGTCAGTACAACGGAAGAGATTCTTGGTCAGTTCTCTGAATGATAAGCTTAAGTTTTCGGTAAACAGCAAACAAATTAGCATTTTTATCTCTGACCCTTTCCACACCGGGTAGACAGAATTGATTTTGAATTTAATGTCAGAATGACTGGGGGGAAAAGCTGATGCAAGTCTCGTGCGTTCCTTTTCATTAATAATGTACTGTGGTGCATAACAGTGTGTAAAAGCCTTATTGAAAAGACTGTCTACACTCCATCAACTCTAATAAATGCTATGACAAGTCATTCTTCACCACTTTTTTAGTTTGGGTTTAATAAATGCTGCAGTAAAGCAGCCTATGAGGGTTGGTAAGGGTGTGCCCATTCCCCCAGCCTGCTATTGATACTCGGTGTGACTTTAGTTCATCATCTTCCATTATCCCGGTGCTGAAGTAGATGAGGAATAGCTGAGGTATCCAGGAGTCCAGATAATTATAGATATTCCAAGTAATAATTTCCAGTCTGGTCTTTATATGCTATAGTTGATGGTCTGCAGATTTATATACATTTTTTTCCTTCTTGATATTTTTCCCATTAAAGAACTGGAAAAAGCTATTTTTTTTTTCTCTTTCTCATTCCATGCCCTAAAAGCAGAATTTTTATTCTGTTTGTTCTTTAATACATTTTAGAAATCATTCTGAAATCAAAGTCTGTCATCAGTTTTGGGGAGTAATGCTATGTAGTATAGACAAGTCAGTCAACTATATTAATACAAGGAAGCTGTTTATTGTATAGAGTGCTTCATACTTTTTCAATATATTTTCATAGCTATTGATTCATCTGATACTAAGGCCAGTGTAGTATGCAAGCTGTGCAACCCCTCCCCCCCACCCCAGTACAGGGTCTCATTAGGGAGCCTAGGGTGGCATTGAACTCATGATCTTGAATGCTGGGAGTGGTCCACCAAGCCCAGAAAGCCCTCCTATTTTAATGGAGAATTGAAGAAGAGAGAGGGAGATGAAGAGATTGGCTAGACGTCTTTGGCCATTGAAGGGTGGGCGACATTAATCAATTAATCCATTCTTTCTGATTCTTACTGCTATCTGAAGATGTATCTAGATGTATCTACACTAAGCTTTGCTGTGTGTACTTGAAAAAAAAATCATCAAATAATTGAGGGGGTCAGTTCTAAGCAGTTAAAAAACAAACACTTGCATTGAATGGCTAACCTTGATCCACTCTGTGCATGTCCTGCTGGTCATGCCTGTTAGGGTGTGCTTCCTGTACCAACTCACTTCTGAGCGCCCTCCAGGTGCCGTCTTTGCTACCAAGACTCCACTGTCTGTTCCCCACTTTCCTCTAGCCCAAAGTGCTTGAAGTACTTAGTCTTGTCTTTCTGCAGTTCAGTCAGAGAGGTATATGTTACTTACCACAACAAAGACTATTATCAAACATGTACTTACTTAGTGACGGTACTGGGCCTGCTGGTCCTGGTCCTGGAGAACACCGACGAACAGATGATAATCTCTGCCATCTTGAAGTTCAAATTGTATGTCAGGGGTGCTGTCAAGAAATTGAACCAATAACAAAAAATAAAGCAGGACAGGATGGGAAGGTGGAAAAGTCTCAGTGGGCGTCCCTTATTTTCAATAGGATGAAAACGTGACACTTGAGCCCAGAGCTGAAAAGGCCCCTCTAAGACTGGACCCTGTTGACATCTAGGAGAAGGACGTTGTAGAGGGGTCAAGGTGAAGGGAAAGTGTGGGTTAGAATTCCCTTGGCTGTTTGTCAGGTGCCTGGAGGTCAAACAGCTGATGCTGAGACCCAAGGAGAGGACCCCAGAAGGGTGGGCAGGGGACGGGGTGTCCAGCCTCGGCCTGGATTTTGCTTGTCCTTTCGGGAAGGTGGGTGAACCGTTCGAAGTACAGGGAAGGAAAATGACAAGGGCTGACTTATCGTTTAATTAAACTGCTGGAATAGGAATGTAAAAAGAAATAGCACTCTTGTTTCTAGGGAAACAATGTGGACTACTTTAAAAAGACCGTAGAGGTGAGTCACTGAAAATTGCTGTCAAATCAAGTGGGAGAGAAGCAGATACAAAAGAGCAGGGAGGCTGAAAACCGCGAGATTCTGCAGTTTGATTTATCGGTAACCACTTTTGTTTTAATGATATTAAAATTGACAGTAGCTTTTGAGGTGTGCCTCAGAGGTCGATGGTTTGCCTGGAATGCACTAGGCCCTGGGTTTGATCTCCAACATCATGGGGAAAAAAAAAAGAAGAAAGAAGGGGAAAATGGGGGGGGGGGGGAGCGTGGGAGGGGGGGGGGTGGGGAGAAATGGCAGATAATCTGTTGTGGTAATAGTTAATTATATACTTTGTCACGAGTCCCTCTTCACTTGACCTAATGAAGACAGACATGGCCCTTCTGCCAGTGAAATTGGAGAATGAACATACATGAATGTATTTTGAATTTCAAGAGTCGAAGAGCAGTAGCCTCATCTATCAGTGTAGTATACTATTCTAGGAATCCCTAATTAAACAGTTCTTCTCCTTGGTGAGAAGGCTTGTCTTGTAAAGCACATCCCACTCCGGAGCTAGCCCTGTGTGAGGTGGCGCTTAGAATCCTAGCCACATGCTCGTTAGTTTAGAGCTGGAGATGATGTCAGAGACCCGGTTGTCTAAGGTTCCTGTTTTATGCCTGAGGGTGGTAGGACAGGAATGTGAAGTTCTTGGGGCTCATTCACGTGTCTAGTGGGCAACCAGGAGGAAGCCTGGTCAGCTTGAAAATGGCAGCTGTCAACTTTATGCAAAAGACTTCCATAAAAGTTGGAGAGGTGGCTCAGTGGTTAAGAACATGGACTGCTCTTCCAGAGGACCTGGGTTTGATTTCTGGTAGCCCACACGATGGCTCACAACTGTCTGTAACTCCAGTTCCAGGGGATCCAATGCCTTCTTCTGGTCTCTGCAGGAACTGTACACAACATGATACACAGACTACATGCAGACAAAACACTCCTATGTATGAAATAAAGAAATACAGTTAAAAAGTAGAATTCAACAAAGTGTCAAGTGCTTGGCAACATGGATTTTTAGGCAGGTTTTAGCTGCTAGCTGTTCGTGTCCTGTGAAGCCACCTCTCAGTGACATCCCCTTTTGCTCTCGTCACTGCTGAGGAGGCTGCCGGAGAGCAGGACATTCATGGCCCTGGTATGGGGTGGTGACCTGGGTTAAGTCCTTCCTGTTCTGCTGCAGAGCGGCTCTGTGACCTTGGGCACATCATGAAACCTGCTCAGCTAGAAAGTCTATTGCCTACTATGTGACATGGGGGCAAATGAGGCCCTGCGTGAAGCAGTTTCAGTGGAATAAAGAAGGCAGTGTGTGTGTGTGTGTGTGTGTGTGTGTGTGTGTGTGTGTGTGTTGATGGTGTGCCAACACAATGCCCAGCACATGCGCTTTTTTTTGCCATTGCAAAATCCCCTTTCCTAACAAAGAAGAAAAGGGAAAAGGAGGCTGAGTGAATATTTAGACCCTAAACCGTCTCATCCGACGTGCTGTTCCTCACAGCCAGGCTTGCCTCTGAGCGTGATTGGCTAATTTTACCTTCAGCCCTGTCTGCCCAGCCCCCCCCCCCCCCCCCCCCCTGTTGCACCTGCCATGTGGTCGTCTCTGCCAGTCTTCCTCCCTGACCTCGTGGAAAAGCCAGCTGTCCCTGGCTAACCTCCCCCCATTGACTGACGCTGTCCTGTGTTGGTGCACGCGCGTTAACTTTGTGACACGATGGGCAAGCATTCAGAGACGCACTGCATTTCAACCGGCGCACTATACTGTTTACAGGTATCATGTGTATGGGGGTATTAACTCCATGTCGGCCGTGTCCAGCTTCTGGGAACCACGCGGCCTTGCGGTGGTGGCATTCCGGCGTGACTTGGTTCTGAGCCACATGGAAGGCAGCTCTCAGCTGTGCGCTGACTTCAGCTGTCCCCTTTCTTTCCCTCACCCTATCGCCCCTATTTTTATAGTCTTTCATTTGTCAAGTCAGAGATTGCCAGAAGGGAGAAGGAGGAATACCAAAAGAAGCACCGAATAGTCTATTTTGGGGTCTGTTTTATGCTTCGCCATACTCATACATTTTCAGACCCACAGACTTCCACCAAGGTCAGCCCTGTGTAGGAGAGTTTCCTAGGTCAGGGTCCATTAGAGGGAAGCAGTTCTGCCGCTCACCACCGCAGGCCGGAGAAGAGGAATTCCCGATTCAGTTTCTATGCATCGGTATCCTCTGCTCTTTCTCGAGTAAACCGAATACAAAGAATTTAACTGTCTTGTGCTTTGCGTTGCTGCATTCGAACCCTTCTCCTTTATACATTCTTTGTCTTTTGTAAATTCTTCTGGGGATGGGTGGTTTGATGGCTATCTGAGCCAGTTTTCACTCTGTAAAGTGCATCTGAATTGCGGCCATCACAGAGTTTCTGGCAAGGTTAAAGGAGATTAACATGACCACTTAGCCCAAGAAAAGCTGGGTGTGATAATACATCGCAGCCATTGCCGTGAAATGGTTCTGATGTGCAGAAGTGAATAGAACTGCTGTTCTTCTCCAGAGCAGATGTGCCAAATGTTGAGATCCTCTTCAGGCAACTGCTGACAAGTGAATCATAAATCATCAACTTTTGACAAATTTGAAAAAAGACATCAGGGACAATAAAAACGTGGCATGTGTGCTATGTATACTATAATACAGTGGACGGTCCTGAGATTTGGAGTTTGAACCTTGGGACCGTAGCACACAAGCTACATGGCCTCAGATCGATGACACTTTATCTGTGATGCCTCAGCTTTGCAGCGGTAAGGGGGTGATCCTCCTCATGGAAGGATTAACTGAGTGAGAACTTGTAGTAGAACCACAGACTGACATGACAAAGAGAAGCCATTCAGATCATCCAGGTGACACCAGGGTACTGGAATGGACCTGACGTAGTGATGGAGGCTGTTGGATCTTGGGTCAGGTCCTGGTGCTAGAGGAACAGCCAGCCATAGAGTGAGTCATTGGGGTGAAACCAAGCCTCAGTTTCTAATTTGTAGTTAGAGAGTTAGTAGACTGTCTTCAGGATTCCTTAATGCAGTGCTGACCTGCTGAGAATGTTCTTGGCTGTATCCTCCACTAAAGCACTTCAGAGCCACATGTGGTTACTGAGTGGACTTGCCATGGGGCTCTACTGAACCCTAGGTACTGAGGTATAAGTTTCAGTTAATCTTTTTTTTTTTGAGACAGGAGACAGGTCTTCTCTGTGTAGCCCTGACTGTCTTGGAACTTGCTCTGTAGACCAGGCTGGCCTCAAACTCAGAGATCCATCTACCTATGCCTCCTGAGTACTGAGATTAAAGGTGTGACCCACTACCACCCAGCAAGCTTTGATTAATTTTAATAAAAGGTTTATTTAAAATTTTTATTACATTCTTATTTATTTATCTATTTGCTGTGTGTGTGTGTGTGTGTGTGTGTGTGTGTGTACATGCATGTGCATGTGTGTGTTCTGGATGCATGTAGAAGTCAGAGGCCAACAAATACCTCCCATGTAGATATTTGGAATTCAACTCAGGTGGTCAGGCCTAATGGCAAGTTCCTTTACCTACTGAGTGTAACTAGAGTTTTCCTGCCTTGCCCACAGTCAGGACAAATCTCTCTCACCTGCTAGTCCCACAGCCGCTCAGACCCAACCAAGTAAACACAGAGACTTGCTTATAAACTGTATGGCCGTGGCAGGCTTCTTGCTAACTGTTCTTATAGCTTAAATTAATTCATTTCCATAAATCTATACCTTGCCACGTGGCTCGTGGCTTACCGGCATCTTCACATGCTGCTTGTCATGGCGGTGGTTGGCAGTGACTCCTTCTGCCTTCCTGTTCTTTCTTTTCTCCTCTCTGTTAGTCCTGCCTATACTTCCTGACTAGCCACTGGCCAATCAGTGTTTTATTTATTGACCAATCAGAGTAATTTGACATACAGACCATCCCACAGCAACTGAGCCATCTAACTAGCCCAGAAGTTTACATTTAAATAGCCACCGTGGCTAGTGACTGTTGACTGTATTAGACAGATCACATTCATTCATCTCTCTTCCTTCCTTCCTTCTTCCCTCCTTTTCTCCCTTCCTCCCTTCCTCCCTCCCTCCCTTCCTCCCTCCCCCTCCCTTCCCTCCTTCTTTCTTTACTTTTGAGACAGGGTCTATCTATGTATTCCCCGCTGGCCTGGACCTTACTGTGCAAACTCAGCTGACCTCACCCTCAGGCTCACAGAGATCTGCTGGCCTCTGCCTCTGAGTTCTGGGATTAAAGATAACACACACCACACCTGAATAGACCAGCTTTACAGGTGTAAAGTTCTCAATATGCTCTGGAGTACTTAACGTTAGACTGTGGATTCATGGGTGGGTGTGACCCTGGGGAGATGGGGGATTTACTGTAGTCTTTCTAGGAACTGAGAGCAAGGTAGTAAGACATTTGCTCTAATGCCCTTACTGTTTTTATATACTTTGAGTAGTGTTGAGGTCACCTCGACTGTCCTTCTCTGCTCCTGTTGTTCAGTATGTTTTAGAATTAAAGAAAAAGATAAAGTGACAGCTGAGCCATCCCCTGCCGCTGAGTCTTGCATACTTCCTGAACACGTCTACATCTGTTTGGTCAAAGTATGGTCTACTCGTGGGAGTGTTCTCCACTGTGCATCGCAAAGAAGAATGGAGACCCTTGGGTCTGCTCTGGAGGCCCAAGAAAACCTACAGGAGACACAGGGTTCTTGGGTGCTGCAGGCTTCTTGGATGTGCTCTGTAGCATGACGTCCTTTTATTTGGAACTGTAGCAGGAGAGGTGACCCTGGAGGCTTGAAGTCCCCACATTTCACTTGTGTTTTTATCCATCAATATGCTCAGAGATTCTCTTGAGAAGAGATGTGAAGAAAGCTCCAGTACTTCCCCTGGTAAGTGCTCTCTAGCCCGAGAAATCTTACTTAGTGGCTGAAGCTAAGACATCCGAGGCTTTGCAGCAGGGGGGTGAATATGTGGCTTCCTAGGAATTTATTCAGA